TGAAAATAGATGCAACAGATTCAACAAAGGAGAGCATAGAATTTAAGATATTACAGACAGAAATGAAGCCAATGATTATGAAGTGAAAGATACCTTAAAAATAGCAAGAGACTATGAAACATCAATCCACAGGTGAATAAGGAAGCCAAGAAGAATAACATAAGATTCATTGGGATCAGTAAGAAACCCAGAGACAGTACAAAATATCATAAATAAAACTCTTCACAGAAATAAGGGCAGAAAACTTCCCAAGTTTTTATAAATAATTTGACATGCAAACAAATGAAGCATATGGAACTTCAAACAGCCAAGACCAAAACAAAAGCACACGAAGACATATAATAATAAAGATTCCAAAAATTCAGCACAAGAACAGAACATTAAATGCTGCTATAGAAAAGAAACAGATCACCAATAAAAAGCCCCCTAGAATCATGGCAGACTTCTCAACACAAACACTCAAGTAAAGAACACCTTGAAGTGAAGTATTTCAACTCTGGAAAGAAACAACTTTCAAACCAGATTTATGCATCCTGCAAAACTGTCTTTCAAGGATAATGTAGCAATAAGATTCTTCCATGACAAAGAGTAATTGAAGGAATTAATGACTGGCAAACAATCTCATAAAGAGTACTGAAAGATATCCTAGAGACATACAGAAATGACCACAGCTCCAAGAAAGAAACCATCAGATAGGGCAATTAACAGGGGTAAAGTAGGGACCCAAACAGTAGGAAAATATCCTGAGAAAGATAAGTCAATACATATTAGTTATAACCATTAAACTAAACGGCTTCAACTCACCAAGCAAAAGAAATAGACTGGCAGAATGGATCAAGTAAAATACTGAAAATATGCTGTACACAAAAAACGTATCTAACTCAAAAAGAAACTCATGGGCTGAAATTCAAAGAATGAAAAACAATCATCTGTGCAACAGGAACCCAGAAAAAACAGGGGTAGCTATACTGTTTCCAGACAATGTGAACTTCAAATAAAAAATGATCAAAAGAATTAACGATGGTTACTACATACTTCTTAGGGGGCAATTTCAAGAGGAAGAGATAAAAATCATAAATGTTTATGTACCAAATATGGGAGCACTCAACTATATAAAACAATTATTAATAGACATGAAAAATGAAATAAGCAATAACATAATTATAATGGGAGACTTTAATAGCATATTTTCACAAAGAGATAGATCAACTAGATAAAAAATCATTTAAAAATACCATAATTGAAACACATATGTGAATAAAAAGACTTAGTAGATGTTTTCAGAGTGCTGTATGCAACACTGGAATACTCATTCTTCTCAGCTGCACATAGGATATTCTCTAAAAGAGGCCATATATTAGCCCATAGCACTTGCTTAAGTAATGCAAAAGAAATGAAATTATTCTATTCATATTATCTGACCATAGTGCAATGAAACTTAAAATCAATACTAAAATAAATTGAAAAAAAAATTCCATAAACGAATGGAAATCAAATAGTACCATCCTAAACAACCAATGGGTCATATATGAAATTAAGAAAAATTAAACAATTTCTACAACTAAATTACAATGAAGATACAAAATACAAGGACTTATTGGATGCAATGAAAGCAGTTATCGAGGGAAAATTATAGCAGTGAGTACACATATCAGGAAAACAGAAAAAGCACAGATAAACAACCTAATGTTACACCTCAAGTTTCTAAAAAAAATCTGAAGTCCATATAAGGGAGAAAATTATAAAGATCAGAGAATAAATTAATGCAATGAAGACTAAGAAAAAATACAAAGAATTAATGAATTGAAGAGTTGGTTCTTTGATAGAATAAATACTATTGATAAACCTTTAGCTAACCTTATCAAAAAAAGGAAAGAACAGATTCAAATTCATGCACTGAACAATAAAAAGTGGGAAATCCATACAGAACCTTTGGAAATTCATAAGATCATCAATATCTACTTCAATAAATTTTTACTCTCATAGGATGGAAAACAGAGAAATTGGACAGATTCCTAGATATGTATGAATTTCCAAGCTCAGTCAGGAAGCTATATAAATTATGAATAACTCAAGATCAATCAGTGAAATTGAAAATGTAATAGAAAACTTACCAATAAAGAAAAGGCCAGGTCCTGATAGATCCACTGCTGTCCTTCACAAGAAATTTAGAGACTATTTGATGCTATGACTTCTCAAACTCTTGAATGGAATTGAAATGGAAGCAATATTCTCTAACTCATTTCTGCAGGCAAGTATTATGCTGAAATCAAAATCAAGATTCAACTGAGAAAAATAAATACAGGTCAATCTTCTTCATGAACATAGATGCAAATATCATCAAGTAGACATTAGCAAATAAAATGCAGCAAATCCTCAAGAAGATTATATATGATGGTAAAGTAGGATTCATATGCAAATCAATAAATGTAATACACCATATCAACAGCAAAAAAGGAAAATCACATGATCATCTCATGGATGCAGAAAAAGCTTTTGGCAATGTTCAACTCTCATTCATGATAAAAAAAAAACCAACAGAAAATCAGAATAGATAGTCTTTACCTCAATGTGATGAAAGTTGTCTATGACAAACCAGTGGCCAATATCATTTTAAATGAAAAACAAAAAAAGAAAGAAAATCAAAAGCTTTCACTCTGAAATCAGGAAGAAGACAAGGATGTCCATTATGGCTAATTTTATTCAATATAATTCAGGAACTATTATCCATGAAGATTATACAACAGAGAGAAATAAAAGGAATAAGCTTAGGAAAGGAAGAAGGTAAATTATCATTCACAGATGATATGATTCTTTACATAAAAGACCCCAAAAACTCCACCAAAAGACTTGTGATTTTAAAAACCATATTCAGTAATATAGTTATATACAAGTCAAAACTCAAAAATCAATAACATTTGGGTACACAAATTCACTGACAGAGAAATTATACCCTTTACTGTAGCATCCCCAAAAATGAAATACTTAGGAATCAAGCTAAAAAAGAAAGTAAGAGATCTGTACATTGAAAGTTACAGTACTCCAAAAAATTAGATTAGAGATATCAAAAATGGAAAAATATCAATTGCTCATGGATAGGAAATATTAACAGTGGAAATGACCATAAATCCCAAAATTATTGTACAGATTTAACAGGATTTTAATCAAATACTGTTAAAATAACTCACAGATCTAGAAAAAAACATTACTAAAATTCATTATTAAGCACAAGAGACCTACAGTAGAAAAAGCAATTCTGGGCAACAAAGGCAAGATATGGTGACATCACAATCTCTGACCCAAAATTACACAACTTAACTACTGTGTTAAATCAGCATGGTACTGGCAAAAATGCAGACTGAAGATCAGTAGAATCGAAAAGAAGGTACAGACACAAACACAAACACACTCAGCCACTTTATCTTTGACAAAGGAGCCAAATGTGTTCACTGGAAGAAAGATAATCTCTTTGATAAGTGGTATTGGTAAATCGGGCTTTCTACATGTCAGAAACTTAAACTAGACCCATGTCTATCTCCATGTATTAAACTAAAGTAAAAATGGGTTAAAAGTCTAAGTATTGAAACATAAACACTTAATCTACTGGAAGATAAAATAAGTAGAAATCCTGAAGACATAGGTGTAGACAGACTTCATGAACAAAACCCAGACTACACTAGAAATCAACAAATGGGATTTGACTTTATTAAAACATTTTTGTACCACAAAATAAATCACCAACAGAGTGAAAAGACCACCCACAGAGTAAAAAAAAAATAGCCATTTGTCCTTCAGATGAAGGACTTATAACTAGAATATATAAAGGATTTAAAAACATCAGAATATCTAAAATTTAAGACCCAATCAAAGATGGGTTTCTGAGATTAATACATACTTTTCAGATGAATAAATGCAAATGGAAAATAAATATGTGAAAAAAAAATGTTCAGCACCACTAGTTAAGGAACTGATGCAAATTAAAACAACACCTAGATTCCATGTCACCCTAGAAAGAATGGCTAGCATCATGAAGTCAACCAGTTACCAATGTTAGTGTGGTTGTAGGGAAAACGAACCCTTTTCCACTGCTCTTGGGAGTACAGACTGATGCAACCACCACAGAAATTGGTGTGGAGATTTTACACTATAAAAAATACAATGACTACAGAATTAAGCCAAAGGAAAAAAAGAAGCCAAGGACAGAAAAAGGAATGTCAGAAAAACAGAAAAATCTTAACGGAAACCTAAATAGGCCAGAATTCATGCTTTGAAATAATAAGTGACACTACAGCAAAAATTGCCTTAATAATATATGCTTTGAACTTCTTAGATGAGTTATATGAGTCTCCACTAATATATTTATACACATAGAAAATAGGTAAATGTCTATAAGACGTATTCAATGAAAGTACTGAGGTGAAAACACTTAAATTATAATTATAAAAATTAGAAATTGACTCAACTTTCCTTCCAAACATAAGAAAAAAGGGACAGTTCAATATGTAAGTTTATCAATAGTCACACAACAGAATTGTTTTGAATTATATAGTCTCAGAAATTAGATAAAAGAGAAAAGTTTTCAATTTGTAAACTTTGATGGAAAACATCATTGTCTTGCACAGACAAAACATTGGACAAGGAATTTGTAAAGTGAACCTAACATTCATCCATTTTCATTGATCTAGATGGCAAGGGTGATCCAACATTATATACTCTATTAAAATATTAAAATATTTTACCATGTTGAATCATTACACAGTAAATCTCAGTAAATGCTGGCAAAATATGCAATACCACTCAACCTCTGTTTATAAGTAACATCTTCAAATCTCCAAAGGAAAATAATAAGAAGCAAATCCACTTAGTCTCTAATAAGACATGATATCAATTGTTACACAAACAAGCATCACACAAATCTCTGTAGGTTAATACAGCAGGATTATTTCTCACTCATCCTAAATAGCCATTGGTGTTCAGTATGGATCTCTGCTCACTTTCAGTCCTTGAAAACTCAGAACAGAGAAGCAGCAGCTTTGTGGTATTACTACTCGCTATGCCTGAAATGGAGTGCAGAAGAGTCTTGAATAGGTAAGTACATGCTGTAGCCCAGAAGTGCTACACAGCTTTCTGCTTATCTCTTACTGGCTTGAGTAAACTGTGTGGCCCTCTGCAACAAGAGAAATCCAGAAGTTTATTCTGTTATATCTGCAGTAAATGCAAGATTCAGTTCTTTGGAAATATCACTAGGAACTCACACAGGAATGTGCCATAATTGCAGTTACCAGCTTGCTTAATGATAAAACGATAAAAATTTCCCCATAAAACCAAGATTTAGACAGAGTTCAATAATATACTAAAAGTACGAGTTGGCATAGAAAGACAAAATGAATTAGACAAGTCAGTGAATAAAAAGTCATGCTATCAACTAAATATAAATAGATAAAATGATTAAAGTTAATAAGAAAATAGAGCAAACTTGCATATTAATAATCAATATGCAATATTCAATTGATTTCTTATACCAGAAGCAATTAAATGGTGCAGTTCTTCTAATGACAAATGGCTGAATTACACTTAAGCAAGGAACTAAAGAATAATGTGCAAGAGTATTATGTAAAAGATTCTGTAAAACTTGTGCATTGTAAGGTATTATTTTAAAAAGTCTTAGGAGAGATATGTGATATTCATAAATGCACTCATTGTATTAAAGATATTAATTTTTATCAGATTGATAGATTTAATGGAATGCCAATTAACATTTTTGCAGGGTTTTTTTTTTTTTTCATGTATGCAACGGACTGGCAAACTCAGAAATCTATATTAAAGGGTCATATGAAGTTAAATATCATAACCTGAAAAATAACTCAGGGGAACGTGTCAAGGCATATACTAATGACTTGGATAAAGCAACAGTGACTAAAACTTTGAGAATGCTGCAGGTTTAGACAGAGAAACAAGTAGAATCTAACAGAATGCAAAGCAACGGAGCAGACATTTAAATAGCTAGTAGATATCAAAAGCAACATTGCAGAACAATGGAGAGATGGAGGGATAATTCAATAAATGGGGCTGGCCACTGGCTATTCAAATAGAAAAACAATGGAATATATTTCTTTCTATGAGATACAAACATTAAATAAAAACTAAAGTTTAATAAAGAGGAAATATATGTACTCTTGGGGTATAAGCATAAATGATGAAAAATGATAAATCTAACCACAATTTTAAAATTGACTGTTCATCAACAAATACTATAAAGGAAGTGAAAATGCAGGCTAGAAGTCTGGGGAAAATATATACAACATTTGACCACAAAAAAATGTTAGTGTGTAGAATGCATCCAACCACATAAAGAGGCAAACAAGGCAGTAGAAGTTGGGAATGGTACATGTGTGGGAGTGGCCTGGGGGAGGTTGGATAATAGATTTCAAAAACTAGTTAGTTGGCATAATTAGATTTAAAGTTGTTTATCATGATAAGTAACTATAGGGTATAGAAATTCATTATACATCTCAAAATAACTGCAAACGTGTTGTAAGTTCCCAGCATACAACTGGTAATATCATATGAGGCAGAAATGCAGATTACTCTGGTTAGATTATTACACTTTATACATATATGTACAGTATCCACTTGTAATACTGAACTCCATTAATAAACACACATATGTTAATTAAAATTAAAATAAGACAACCAGAAAACAGAAAAAAGAGAGCAAAGTCATAGATATTTCATGAACACCAAAGCATTAATAATCAACAAACATTCCAAAATATGCTAATTTGTTAAAAGGAACATCCCAGAGACTATGATCAAATAATCATTCAATATCATTTAGGCTGGTACAAAAGAAAGTCCTGATAATATTATTGTAAAAGATGTGAAACAATGATAGTTCTTGATATTATTGGTGGAAAGTATGCTGTCCAAGCATATTGAAAAATAAACCAGAATTAGCTACTATATTTAAAAAAACCTGACTACCTAGCAATTCTATTCCTGAGACAAATCATTTAATGAAGTCTGCACATGTGTACCTGGAAATGTTTAGAAGGATGTTTCCAGCAACACTGGTTTCTATTAGCAAAAAAACTGGCTGCATCCTAAATCTCCCTTATCAGAAGAGTGGATGCATTGTAAAATTCAGAAATAAAACAAAAAGCTGACATAGGTTAATGTCAAAACTGAAGATGAGTTGGTAGTATAATTTGTGAAGAAATACATTGAGTATGATTTCCATTATACTTATATACAATAAATCAAAGGATATATATACAACAAGTCCAGGTAAATAAATAATTAACACAATTCAAAATGGTCATCATCTCTACAAGAAGCTCCATGGTTCTACAATATTCTGTTTCTTAAGCTGAGTGGAGTAAACATGGTTCATTTCGTAGTATTCCTTTCTCTTCTTTCTTCCTTTCACCTCCCCCTCCCCTTTGTCTCTTTTCTCCCTTTCTGTCTTCTTCTCTCATCCCTTCTTCCCTCCTGCTGTCCATAAATCTACCTGTTTTAATTCATATGTTCCTAGCATAATACCAAAAATGAGACAGCACATAAAAACAGATATGCATGCCTTGTATATCTGCAGGCGGGAAAGTAAAACAGATGGGCGCTGGCCGGTGTGAAGAGACCTGCTTCCTTGTTATGTATGTCTTCTCCTTGTTTCATATGGTAGGAGGGATCATTCACTTTTCTCTTATAAAAGCACTAAATCACATTCAAGGAGGCTACTAACAACCTCCCGAGTACTCTATCTCCAAGTATCATCACCCCGAGGATTAAGCTTCAATATATGATTTTGGGTGGCAGGGGTACAAACATTTGAATTGCATTGCTATTTATCCATCTGTCCATCAATATTAGATGTATTTCTAATACAGAGTATGTTTTCAGAAAAAAATAAAAGTTTGATTAGAAGCTTGCCAACAAATAGGTGAAAAATAAAAGAAAAATCTAGAAAGCACTGAATGGACAAAAGCAGTGACAGGAACCCAATTCCAGTATGTATTCTTGCAGTTAGAGATCACTTCAGAGTATACTGAAAGGCAGGTGAAAGCATTGTTGTTCAGGTATGTGTCCTTTTGTGGCAACAGATTGAGTCTCTGTGTCTTGTTTTTCTTTTCTGAGGTACGAAAACATGTATTAAATATCCTACAAAAGGGATGTCTGAAGAGAGCTGGAAGTGAGCTGAGGCTGCAGGAGCTGTGCTTGTTTAAAGAAAGGTTAAAAGACAAAAACAGGATGCAAAGTCTTGCCCAGGTTTGCATTAACAATATGTCACCAGTGCTTACTGCAAAACTTGGCACAGTAGTGCTTGATAAATATTTGGGGAATGAATGAATGGAGCCTTTGACAATGAGCAGTCATGGGAACGTGTCTTCTTTGTTAATGCTTTCTTGTTCTCATTTCTTTTTGTGGCCATTCCCACCATGGCTAGAGAAATTTTATGACATTTTCTCCCTTTCCTTTTCAGTAGCTGGTAGGGGTGGGAAAGCGTCAGGAGGTCCAAGACAAACTGTGAATGGGCTTGATTTCGAATGGTCTTCACAGAGTGCTGACAGATGTCTTACATGAGAACCAGATTGGAGAAGCTGCCAGCTAGGGCCCAGAGCCAGCCTCCTTTACTGAGGAAATCTCCATAGATGGCGGTGGGTCAGATGCCACAGTGTGCAAACTGCACTCTTTCCTCTAGTCTCTTTATCCCTCGTTTCTCCTGCTTAACCATAAGGAGCCAATAATAATATATTTTAAATAATTTCCCATTTGCAGGTCTCATTCATAAGGCAGGTTGGGGAATTTAGCTGAGGACTGAAGTCAAAGAGGAGTTTTAATATAACCTGCCCATGAAATCTATGCCCCAGACCTAAAGGGAGAAGGCTTAGTTTGACTGTATATACCTAGTTAGCTTCAGGCAAAATAGTACCTGCTCTCAAACAGGATAGAAAGGAGAAGTTTGTAGTAGGAATTTGAGGTTCCCTGTAGGAAACAGATCTTAACTTTCCTTGAATATTTTTAGCATTTGGAAGGAGGAAAATCAAACAGGAACCAAAATCTATCGTTCAAATCTATGATTGTGACAGCGAAAGGTGACTGCTGTTTCCCAACTTGGGTATGAAGCAGCCTCACCCAGCAGGACAAGTTATAGTTGGTACCAAGAAGGCTCCAGTCCGCAGTGCAGAGGCCATGCTCACCATCTTGATCATTGAAGAGAATTCAGTAGAGAACTGAAAAGAGAGAATTTGATGTAGGAAATCTGAGGTGGGAGAAATGAAAACTACTAAAAATACACAAAATATTAAATTTAATAACAAAAGCACAGTTGTACATCAGGGTGAGCCTTTGATTACTGGTAATGGGTGTTGGGGTGCTTAAAGGGAAATCAAGAAGCCAAGAGTTAGATCTAATATGGGTGTTTACTGAACTCTTATTATATGCCAGGAGTAGGGTAAAACTCAAAGCAAAATTAGTTTCCACACTCCAGACAGATAGCCCACATGAACAGGGAAGCACTGGACCAGAGGAATGGGCCAGGTTTCCTTGTTTATAAAATTCAAGTGTAAATTATTTTTAAAATGCTGATTTAAAAAAATTGTCCACCAAAGAAGAGTTGTCTACTTATGTCCATGGATGAAATCCAAGCAAGTGGCACAAGCCTCTAGTCCTTAAGCTGAGGTAGGAGGATCATGAGTTCCAGGGCAAATGGGCTACATAATGAGTTCAAGGCTAATACAAACTACATAGTGAGGACCTGTGTTTTAAAAATTCAAGATGGTAGATCAAAATATGTGCTACCTCACATTTATTATTCTTAATACTTTTTCTACTAGTTTTTTAATAGAAATGTACATGTACATATTCATTTACACATAAAACACACAGGCATATATTCATATAATTTGAAGACCTTTAACATATTAATAAAACCTTAAAACATACTGATAAAAGGGTACATAGATGTAAAATAATTGTAGCATTTTAAAATTCTCTAGTTAATATTGTTTCTCAAAGATTTTCTATTATTTATAAAAGCTGCATTGTTCTTATTAGAAGAATCTTGCAGGTTAGCCTGATTTTTTTTCTCCTCTAGTGGATGTTTACTTATCATTTTTTCATAGTTACCAAAAGTACTGAAATAAATATTGTTGAGCATATACCTACATACATAGAGACAAACGAGTCTGAGGGTAGTATCCAAGATATAAAATCACTCAAAAAAGGATAAGTGGGCATGGTATCAATCACTCAAAAAAGATCGCTGGGCATGGTAGTGCACTCCTGTGATCCCAGCACTGTGCAGAATGAGATAGGAGGGGCTTTGTGAATATGAGGCCAATCCGGGACACAAAGCAAGCGAGTTCAAGGTCAATTTGAAGTACATAGTGAGACCTTATCTCAAAAACAAAAACAAAACAACAACAGCAAAAAGGATAAGTGCAATGCAATTTTTTAAAAAAATTCTTCCAAGTAATTATTGGTTTAAATTCTCAGCAAATGTTTTCTTTCGAAGCTATCTTATCATATTTAGTTATTTTTTTATATTTGGAAATATTGCTACTTCAATGGGGAGAAAATTTCATTCCGTTTTATGTTTAGCTTTTTAAACACACAGACTTTTTAACATCGAGATCATACTCTTATCTGTTTGTAAGAAATAAAATGAGGTTTGAATAAAGCAATGCAATAACAAAATTTTATTTCTTTAACCTTCATATTAAATCAGACAGAAGTTACTTTTCACTTATTTTAATAACATTTAGAAAGAAGAAAAGTCAGTGATTTCAATCACTCTCCAGATGATCATTTATAAAACTTTAGAGCAATTATTTTCAAACAACAAATTAAATAGAACATACACATTAATTATGAAGCACTTTAATATTTTCCAAGACAGAATTACAAAAGAATCTGAATGATTTTTAAAGAGTTATTTCATAGCACCCAAGATATAGCAGGATGATCCAGGATTGATTTTTTTTTTTCTCCTGAGGGCTCTGTCCTTTTCTCCTTATTAATCTTCAAGACATCTCAATGGACATCACCTGCTTTGTTAATTTTCTTGGTGAGGTATTATAGTTTTCCTCTTGATGAAATTTGTTCTTCCTATTACAAACTCATAGAATCTTAACTTCCGTCTAAAAAATTAACACTTCTGTGGCAGTTTAATTCCTTTCTGCTATTCCTGCTAGAACATAAGCCTAACTGAAAGCCAGAGCCACTGTCTGTCTTGTTCTACATCGTATCCCCAGGACCTAGGAATAGGTATTGTACATATAGTTAATTCTCAAATATATATTTAGGATATGATTTTGTGAGATGAAACACAATTCTTCCTTCTGCAAACCTGTTAAGAACCACTGAGCTGTTTATGTATGTATTAAAATGTACATGGAGGCTGAGGCAGGAGGATTACAAGTTTGATCCCAGCCTACTTAATTTAGAAAAGTCTTATCTTACAATAAAAAGGGCTGAGGAATATAACTTAATGGGAGAGTGCTTTCCTAGTAAAAATGAGCTCTAGGTACAATTCTCTACGCTGAAAAAAACAAGCAAGAAAGCAAACAAACAAAGAAAACACAGTGCAAATTTGCTGAGCACAGTTGTTAAGAAGCAAGATTGAAATATATTGAAAATTGTTTAATTTAAAAAATATATATTATAGTAAAAGACGTGTTGTGCTTAACCGCCATCAAAATACTCCCTCTCCCTTCAAGCATATGTATCCCATGGTTCTCGTCATTTTCTGAAGCAGTTCTGGAAGCCCTTCTTGGGGACTTTAGTTGTGCTCACTTAGCTCCCTCAATATCTCAAATTGGCTCAAAATATTTAGCTTCCATGACCATTTTGACTTGTGGAGAAAGCTAGAAGTTACATGACACCAGATCCGGTGAAAACGTGGATGAGGACATGTCACCATATTTTTAAGCCTGCCTTTCTGTCAAATGACATCCGCAGAACTGTTCACTGTATTTTATTACCATATTGTGGAAAACACTCACCACAAAAGTGACATAGCACTGCTTTAGAAAGTGACAAGAATAATGGCATAAATGTGTTTGAAGTGAGGAGGAGGATTTTAATGGGGATCAACGGCAATGTGTCTTTTACTGTAATAAAACTTTTAAAATTTAGCATTCGCTATATATTTTTTCACTGTATATTTTGATTCTAGCTTATATGTTCAATTTTTTATCATAAAAGATAAAAGCAAACCAAAATAAAATAAAATAAAACCAAAGAGACTAGGAAGAATTTTTGGAGCTACTGGATAAATGTATGGTGTCCTGGTGGTGCTGCTTCCAGCACCTGTGTTTTAAAACATATTCATTTACCAAACCCAGGTTGAATACAGGCAAGTTTGTCTAAACTGTGACCTGTGGGTCACATATGGCCATGGATGATTGCAGTAATGTGTCACCAACAAAATGAATCTTAATATGATTGTGCAATGTTTATTGATATTTTTCAAAACTTGATTCCTGAGTGCTCAGTCATCCACTGTGTACATGAAGACAGAATGCTATGTGTCAAGTCAGACTCTTGCACCCACCCTATATGACCAGCTGATAAGTTTAAAAACAATGCAACCCAAATGAACTCCTCTCACATTTCTCTGTAGAAATATATTAAAAGGAGGAAGTTGTGTTATTTGTATACATTAATTATATTACATATTTTATATATGGCTTAAAAATTTCCTCCTTAGTATGTCCCAGGTAAGCCAAAAATCAGACATCTGTGCAAACTCTTTGTATGCCATTTTTTTGGGAGACAGAATCTTGATGTGTTCCTGGACTCAAACAATACCGCTTCAGCCCCCTGAGTAGGTAGGTGCACACCACAGCACTCAATTTAGCATAACTCATGTGACTCAGATGTTCTTTGGATCCCTTGGTTAAATCCCTCTGTCTCTGTCTCTCTCTCTCACACACATGCACACACACTCGCACATACGCACAGACAAAACACATTATTTATGTCATTGTGTATACTTTGTGAAATTCAGTATTACACATTAATCTATATCTCTCTATGATTATAAAATTAGCAGCAATATGGATGATGATCTTTCTTTCTCTTCTACAGGTTCACACAAATTGGAAAATTGGTGGAAGACTGAATTGTAAGAAAGACAATGCCAATGACAGAAACAGAGAGAGAAATTTACACGATTAGATCAAATAAAAATAAAAGTATGAATGCCACAGTACACCATGTTTGTTCTCCCTTATATCTAGTTCATGTATGACATCTTAATTTGTGTCAGTAAGATAAATCAATGTGTTAGGTATTGAGATTTTGTCAGCTCCAGATATAAAAGCTAGATCTAAAAGATGGCTCTTTTTCGACATAAATATATTTTTAGCAAGATTTACAAAAAGTTTGATGTTCTCCTATTTTGGTTGGCTAAGAATTCAAGCACGACCCATTATTATCGACAGAGAAAAGTGCTGAGGAATGTGTAGCTGGACTGAAGCCTTGAAGGCTTCGCCAATCCAGGGCAGTACCTGGCGCTTGCGTTCTGGATGTGGTTCAGGAGATGAACAGCCTCGCTGGGTAATCTCTGTGTAAGGGTGCTTCCAACAAGAGTGGGAAGTCTGGGCCTGTCTAAGGAGGATGTATTTCCCAGGCTTCCCAACTGGCAGGGTGCTAACTGCACACACATCTTTCTCCTCTATTTCATTTCTGCCTGCTTCCTTGGAAGATGACAGCTCTGGCTAGACATATGAAAGCAGAGTAAGGATGATTAAAAATACAAGTGTCCCTATTATCACAGTTTCTGACAGAAGATGGGCATTAATTGATACATTTATTTCATGAGCTCTTACTAGTCTACATTTTCAGTTAAGCAGGTTATTTTTTCCTCAAGAGAATATTGTACATAATACACATGCAAAGAACTGGTAATACACAGACCTCTTTAACAAACTGGAAACTTGGTATTGCCTTGAGCAGTTGTCAGAATTTAGTATGTGTACACCAAGAGGGATTACTTGGTGATTTGTACATTTTAAGAATTATAGGATAATATTATATTTAAAAAATGTTCCCCCATTCACTAATACACTTGATTAGATATATTGATGATAGGCAGATACATACATAGATACATAGATACATACATACATACATACATATATACATACATAGATGCATATGTATATACATGTGGAAAGACTGCTCAATACCCAGATTTACTTAAGTAGCACATGGGAATCATTTCATTTCATCCTTAGAAGAGTTTAAGTGTTAGATACTGGTACTATTCTAATGCAAAGAATTCAGATAAAGAAAAAAATAATTCCTTGCCCAAAGTCTTAGAGATGGTGCATGGAAGCATGTCTTCAGATGTCAAACTTATTTTTCTACAGTATCCCTGCCTTTGAGGAATGCCATGCTTGGACCCCATCAATTTGCCTGTGCATCTGACCGCCCTTTCTGCTCCAAGCAAGGGAAAATGCCCACTGTGTGTGTTCAGAGCAGCCATGTTAAGAGCAGGGGCATTGTTCCCAGGGCAGCTCTGGCCCAGTGGTCTGTTCACAACACCCTGGGTCTAATAACAATCCCAGAAGCTTTTGACTTCACTGAAAAAATCAGAAGCAAAAAATTAGAAAATAAGAGCAGTGAATTCTTTCCAAAGGAAAATGGGCTCACTGCTTGGACAGACCTTGGTTGACCTCTTGAGCTAGGGCAGAAATTGGGACTATGACAGAGGGGCTGCACTGAGGAGTTTCCTGCTGCCCTAGAAACAAACTGCCATGTGATACTCTGGGGATCATCCCCTCACCTCTTCCATGACATTCTCACTTGCTCTCTGCACTACTTTATTTAGTCATTTATTTCTTTACCCACTCATTTTTCGATCATGCATCATGTGTCAAATCTTATATTTGGCACTGGGGTGATGGTGGAGGATAACGCAATCCTGTTTACCTCATGATAGAGCCATTTCTCTGATGAGAAAGACAGATAAATTACCATATGCTTCCAAAACTGTAATAGGTGCTATGGGAGAAGCCAGTACGCCACTAAGAAGACAAAGAAACAAATGTCATCTGACATGAATCAATGCGAGTTTTCTGGAGAGGGTGACATCTCAGTCAAGGCCTCAGGATAGAATGTCAATTTTCCAGTAAGAGGAATAAGGATGGAAGAAACTGTTTTCTGTATGAATAGAGAATGTGCCAGGTCTGAAAGGATGACTGAAAGTGTACACAATGATTGCAAAGAACTCAGTTATTCAAAATGACGTTGGAGAGGTACTGGAGAAGGTTCATGGATGACATGTTAGGAAATGAAACTGAGGGAAGTGTGGGGCCAGACTGTGAGTGCTAGTCTAGGTCTCTCCTAGCGTCTGTCCCATACAACTGTTAAAACTGAGGCCCAGCCAATAGAAAAAAAGTACCTGAAATCAAGCTGAAGCTAAAGAAACAACAAGAAAGAAAAGAAGAAATAACAGAAAACAAGAGGAGAACAATACAGTTCATTTTTCTCACCTGTAAAGTACTGCTCTGAGTTTCTGAGTCACCATGTTTTCTGGCCCTCACACCTCACAGATCAGACAGGAGGAGCTCATCCTATCTGTGTAGCAGAGAGTTATGAAGGCTCAGTCAACAGGGCCTGAGGATGAGTATGTCCTTCTCAGTTCCCCTCTTTCGTTCTGTGGGCTTTCAGTTTAGAATTGAGTTATCACTTGGTGGCCCATAACTATTTTTCAGAAACCAAGAACTTATTTTTCCCATAGTGTTTTTCATGGTCTGGAAGATATCTTCCAGCTTTTTCTTTCATTAAACTTGTATTCCTATTGGCACATGTTTGCAGTACACGATGATTATATTCCTTGTAGGGACTATGTGAATTTGCATAATGCATCTTTTTTTTTTTTTTTGTCTTTTTCATTTTTTTATCGGTACCGGAGATCGAACTCATGACCACACACTTGCAAGGTAGGCAGTTATGCTGCTGAGCTAAATCCCCAACCCTACATCTTAATTTTTTAATTGATCTACCTCCATCACATCTCTTCCTTTTTGCAAAAGGTTGATCTCTGGAGTATTTCCTATTTGCCATTTTTATTTTGCTTTTTTATTTCATTTAGTGTTTCTCATAGGAGAGAAACCACATGATATTTAAACCTTTGTGTCTAATTTATTTCACTTAACATTATAATCTCAATATGCATCCATCTTCCCACAGATTACTTAATTTATCCCTCTTTATGGAAGAGCACTATTCCGTTGTACATAAATACTGCATTTGCTTTATCCATTTACCTTGGCTATTAAACTCAGTTGGCAAGACTCCAACATTTTCCTGTTTGTTCTGTTCAGCATTGGTCCTATACAATTCCAATCCTGATTTGCTAGAACAAAAAGGAGTGGAAAAGTAACAATGATCCTCTCTACAAGTCTACAGGTTCAATTCCTCCCACTCCCATTCTCTATCTCAAGGTGAATATGGCTATGATTCCAGGTATCTATCTTCTGCACATGTTTTACTGCTGCCCAGACAACACATTTTTGGCTCAGTCCTCCCTCTCTGGGAAGCCTCTTCTGCCATCTAGTGCAGCTGTAGTTGGTCTCCCTCCTGTTCCACCTCACAGAGAACTGCATCTCCCATATTGGCTCAACCTCTATAAATCATTTCTTCAACGCAAAGAGAAAATGCAGTCACACGTGACTGATTTCCCTAACAAATCTCTCATAGATTCATGGGCTTCATTTCTGTATATATATATTCGATTGTATGACTTTATCATTGCTCATATTTTAACATATCATTCTCCCAAGAAGTTGTTAAAATAAAGACCAGACTAAACCATCAGCAGAAACAGCAATAAGTGTAATCGTGAACTTATGAAATCTTAAAGATGAAGTCAACCTATTCTCTAAAATAAAGCAAAAAGAGTAGTGTCAGACAACACATCCATCACTGGTTTTAGCCTCAAATTTGTAGAATATGATCATGTTGGCTCTGGCAGGGGATGCTGGTTTGTCTTGCCACAAAGCTTCCATGTTTAGTCTCTGTGTCACCTGCTATTGTTCTTCAAGGGAGAAGATATTTAAAAACCCTCAGCCAAGCTAAGACAGGACTCCTCTACTGTGAGGATCTCTGTTTAAAAGTCTTTGTGTTCAGCTCTGTTAAGTACATGTCCAGTTATTATCCAGTCTTTCACAAAGTTCAAAGAGCATGATGTGTAACCAATCTAGAATACCCAGTTCTGTGTTCCAATTGATATAAGGGCAAAAACTGGATTTTTCATGTACACAGGAAGTGATTGCCCTTTCTCTATTAAAGTCCATTTGTTTTCAAGAGATCTGATTTTAGTTTTTCAGTGGCAAAAACTGGATTTTTCATGTACACAGGATGATATTGCCCTTTCTCTATCAAAAGCCCATTTGTTTGCAAGAGATCTGACTTTAGTTTTTCGGTTTGCTTCTGAAGGATTCACATGGTAGGACACAAGAGAGTCATCATTCCAATGGAGGCTCATCAGTGATTTCAAGGTATCTGTATGTGCGATGACATTCCTATGATATCTGGTTCTGTGCTACCCCAATTCCAAGATGGACTGCTCTCAAAGAGTGGCTTTCTGGCATGTGCTTTAAGGAAAACATATAGCTCAAAATGAAATTTGATCATTAGCATATATATTACTAACACAGATTTACAGTTTTGAATTGCAATTACCCTATTTCTTATCAAGATGTGTCATTAGACTACAGATTTGTGGAGAGTAGAATTTACATCTTGCTTATAAAATAAAATGCATATGCCTTATTTCTCCTCATGCCCAGTGTCTGAAAAACTGACTATAGGTAGTCTAGTCTAGATATTTCATGAGAGAAAGAATTACTGAATGCATTGGCTTCTGGTTAGAGCTTTATCTGGGCAATAAATTATAAATGACAAAGATGATTCATGTATGCTCACCAGAATTATGTTCCTGAAGAAGACATATAAGTTTTCTTAAGTCCCCTTACAGTTGCCTACCTACCTGGCTATCTCCCATCGGGAAGCAGTAAGTTTAGGATTGTGTAGTGATGATCCAAATAGAAGTACCATGTGCTAAGATATTTATTGAATTCTGGAATGGAAATACTCTCTGAGGAAAGTCACAGTCCCCTCTTTGTCAGTACAGGATAAGAGTGATATCAGAATATTCCATATATACATGCACCTACTTATTAATGAGAGATGAGAGG